ACTACATAATGTAAGTCTAATGCAACTTTTATGTATAATAGATCCATTATATGAATTTTTTAAATAAAAGGTTTACCACTCACCGATATGCAACAGCGGAGTTGTCTACATGCCTCCCGGGCCTCCTCCTCCTCTCAGATCTTCTTGTTGCACTCACACAATATTCACTCGCGAGAATAATTAACTACGATCGCACGAAATTTCGCGTGACACTCCCGTACGCGACGTGAAATACCGCAAAACGCACAAAGTATTATTCGTATGACTTTCCGTCACGCAAATCACTCAAACCGGCAACACGTTATTTTGCTTTCTCGATTCGACAGCAATTAATAAATCACTTTTACGATATAAAATCCGAGTGTCGGAATCAAAGCATCTAGCTGCGTTAAATAAGTAGTTACTAATCCACGACGAAACGATATTTTACAATCCGAATTGTCAAACAATCTGAATTGTGCGAGCGAAGCCACTCACTACGATCAAGTCTATTAATTGTAACAATTAATTAAGTCATACGAATAATACTTTGTGCGTTTTGCGGTATTTCACGTCGCGTACGGGAGTGTCACGCGAAATTTCGTGCGATCGTAGTTAATTATTCCCGCAAGTGAATATTGTGTGAGTGCAACAAGAAGATAATTACTGATGGCGCGATCGCGTTTCGGAAATTGATAACGTAAAAATAATACGACGCACGGAACGACTCACGACACTGCCTGCCGGCTCGAGGTTCGGCGAGCGAATGATAGCGCGGCGACCTTCAATCTTCAATACGCGGGCCGGCGGCTCGACTCGACCTACGTAATAGCGCGCTGAATGTTGTAAACACATAACGTCGCCCGATGCCGCGTGAGAAAAAAAACAACGAACGTTGAGAGTTCGTTGTCTCGTCTATGAAATTGAAAATTCTATACCTAGTGTGTATGAAATTCCTTGATAAAGCTTTCGTGAGAATGAAAAGGAATCTAAATCTCTTTGCAACTACGGGGCAGCATATTTTGTGTATTATTTCGCGCTTTCGTCTTAGAAGCAGCCAACAAATTATACTCGGCGCGACGAGAGATTGCAACATGATTTCTACACGGTGAGAGAATTTTCTCTTCAAATTTACCCTGAAAATCGTGGGACAATATGGCATTTTGAAGAACTTTATGAAGGTTTACCACACATTTCACTAGTAAAATGTACACTAATTGTAAGTACGTATATTGGTGAAAAATTATATGGTAAAATTTCAAAAAACTCTCATAAAAGTTGGAAATGCCTTATTGTCCCACGATTACAATATCTTCAGGATAAATTAAAAAAAATTCCCCGTGTACATAAAATAAATGCTACATTACGTTCTAATAACTCGAGAGGCGTGTGTCTTTCTTTAGATTCAAGAATCAAATTAATTATATCGAAATAATAAATAACGAGAGATACGCGTGTACAGCGAAATGATATTCCGCGTGGCGTGGTTGCAGGAGCGACATATATTTTCCCGGAATACCTTGTGTTAATATTATCGGACAGATTATCGAACGGACAAGTCCGATGCCGATCGCAACGTACGTTCGGGTGCGACTCGTACGTGTGCGGGCAAAAATAACGGTATGGCGCGATATCTCTCATCGCCGAAAAACTGGTTCCCCGAAAAATGCCCCGAGGAGAGGCGATTCGATTAAGAGAGGCGGTCCATGCGACGTGCCAAAATCAACCGCGGCTACGCGAAACGATCGTAAAGAACGCCTTCATGAATTTTCGCATCGACGGATATCGCACCCGCTCCTCTATAGGGCTCGATTCTTTCATTCATTCGAAAGAGAAACGTACACGGAGAAAATTCTCTTAAAATTTACCCTGAAAATCATGTAACCGTGGGACATGGCATTACCAAGAATTTAATTTTGTGGAAATTTTACTATACATTCTACTAGTAAAATGTACACGGAAAAAAGAATGATGTTGTATCAACAAGATCAGTGCAATTGAAATAAAATCGTTGAAACAACATCAGTATTAATAAATGAAAAACATCAAATTGTTGTCTTAATAATCTGGATATTTAGTTGAATGCTTAAAATTAAAATCCATAGCAAAGACAATTGAGTGAATTATTTATGGTTGTGACAGCCCGTGACATTAACGTTTAATTCGAGCGACTTCATTTTGTTTAATTCAACAGCATTTTTTTCCCGTGTATACTGAGTATAATTACTAGTGAAATGTATGGTAAAATTTCAAAAAACTGCCACAAAGTTGTTCGAAATGTTGTCCCACGATTACATGATTTTCAGGCTAAATTTTAAAAGAAAATCCTGTCCGTGTATACGACAATTCTACTCTCGACAGAAAAGTTGAAAGTCGACTGGCTAAAAACCATACGAACAGCCAATCAACTTTTCTATAAGAGCAGAATTCTCGCATACGGTTCTCCCTCGGATAAATTCAAGAATCGAGTCCCTACACGCGACAGGTAGATTCGCTTGGCACGTGAACGGCCGCGGAATGATCTCGCTCGAGGGAGAAATAGGTGCATTGTGCGTGCATCTAGCGCACGCTTCTCGTCCGGACGAGCGACAGGCGCGCGTGCTCGGCGTTACGACGCGTGCTACGCACGTGTCCGGCTCCGAACCAGTTTCGCGACGGCGCCCCCGAGGAGATTCTCAAGGCAGAGCAAACCCTATCGCCGTCTCGTAAATCTCGTACGTGCGAACGATCGTGCCCGGTTGAATTAATTAGAATAGATACTCCGTTTTCTCCCTCTCACGCTTGCGCGTCTTGCACGAGAGATTTTACGTTTTAAATAAGGGATCAATTAAGTTTGTTTCAATTATTCAATTGCACTCGGCAGCTTATTCATCTCGCTCCCGCCTTAAGGCCGAATCAGACTAGCAATTGCCGACGAGGACTAGATTGGGATTGACGATTGCTCTTTAGCCAATGAGAGTCGATTCAATCGCTGCTTTGCTCTCATGGGCTAGAAGACAATCGCCAATCCAATCCGCGTTGACAGTTGCTAGTCTGATTCGGCCTTTAAATAGATTTGCGTGTAAACTATAGAGATTATCGCCGACCGCGAGATTTTAGCGCCGATTCGCCTCGAAACAGCAGTGAAAACGTTTCGTCTCGCGTTTTAATCTCGATCGCGATACGCAGTCGGGCCACAAGCGAAATCGATTTGAATCTCGAGACGGCGCGTGATTTACCGTTCGTCTGCACCGGCCGTAAAAGAAAAGAAAAAAAGGAGGAAGAAAACACATCAGCAGTAAAATCTCTGCGGAATATCGCGGGCCTATTTAAGAGGCTTGATGAATACGAGGATATTAACATTAACCACCTGTTCATGCGGATGTCATTACTCGGCGATAAACACACACATATAAATACAGGTGTCCACCTTCTTTTTGCTCGTGTCTTTGCCCCGAAATTTAAAGCGCGTTCGGCTTCCGCATTTTTCGCGCGTTTCTCTTTTTCTCTTTTCGATTAAAAAAATACTATTTACTTATTCGTATTCCGCGCGGTTTAAAACAATTCGTATCTTCTGTTGCGAACGTTTAGAAACTTTCATGCGCGAGTCTACAGAGTTAAAAAAATGCAGGGGTACGATTATGATTTAATTAAATATAAATTTAGAGAGAGAGAGAGAAATTATATCTATATAAATTAAATGTGTTATGTTTAATACAAATTACACTACATTTGCGCACCCATACAAATGATTATGCACGGGAGATGTTTCAAATACCGCACGATTTAATTAAATATTAATTAGATTTATGTAAATATATATAAGTTACGTTTATATAAACTATATTAAATACGCGTACTCTATGCAAATTAATACGCTAGAGACGTACGTTTCAAATAACGCAGTATGTCGAGAAACAATGTTCCTCTTGGGGATGCGTAAACAAACCTTAGAACCTTAGAATCTACCTCGCAGTTATTGCCGAGATCAAGTCGGATGAATAAAATGTTAACTCGAGGGAAGGGGAGGGGGTCAATTCTGCATCTTGCAACATAGTGAAAATGCTATAAGTGGGCGGCTTTGTCTCTGTTTGGAGGCAGTTACAAAGAGACAAGGCTATTCACTTTTAGTTGTTTCACTATAATGTAAGAAACAGAATTGACCAGCAGGGGGTCAATTCTGTATCTTGCAACATAGTGCAAATGCTAAAGGTGGGCGGCTTCGTCACTTTTTGGAGAATTAAAAAGAGACAAGGCTACTCACTTTTAACTTTTTCACCACAGTACAAAATACAGAATTGACCACCAGAACTCCTGTCACTCCCAAAGGATCTCGAGCCGGCGCATTACGCGTCGCGGCTCCGGAGTCGTAAATAAAACGATATATCGCTCGCGGCTAACAGCAGCTGACAAGTAACGTCTCCGACCCGTGCGATGATGAGGCGCAATTAAGCGCACGTTATGAGCGAACACGGCGCAATGTCAGGGACGGTAACAACCGAGGACGAGACGACGACGTCGCGCGCATCCCCCGCGGGTTGATAGAAGTGAGGTTAGGCGTCGTCGCGGGGGAGAAAAGGCGCACGAAGCGAAGTGATCGCCGGAGGGGCCGAACGGCCGGAAGTCCGTGCCGTTTTCGCGACGAATCGACCCCCTCGCGCGGGGATTGCGTGGGACGGATCGTCCGATCACGTTCCCCGTCGTCGCCGTCGAGATCGCGGGACTCGGCGGCGATCGACGGCGAGACACGCGCGTGTCGTCGCTCGCGAGCGGGACTCGCGGTAAAAATAAGCTCGCCACGGGTTCGCGTGCCGCTGTCAGGGTGGCACGAAGAAGCGCGTAGGAGCTCGCTCGCCTCTACATCCGCCGATGACTCTCCCTCTCGCGCTCTTTCCCGGAGCGGAGACGTCTCCCGCAGCGGGTGTCGCGCGCGGAAAACTCGGCCCCGGCGCCCGCCGGCGGCGGACGCGCCCCGCGCGCCCGACACATTGCCGGGATTATGTAACTATTGTTGCACGGCGTGTAAATAAAAGGCTACTTACCGCTGATCGAGGCGAAAAACGTCAAGATCGCGCGCGCCACACACACACGTTACACGCTCCGCGGAGGCCGCTCGCGGCGCACTGCCGCGCGATGGCGCCCGCGCGCCGCAGCCATCTTGGATCGATCGCCGCCAACGGCCGGGACGGTGGGACGCGCGAATTCGGACTCTCCGCTCTCCACTCGTACGCGCGAGAATAAACGCAGCGCCACGCCATTATTGCAACTCGGATTAATTTCACCGGCAGAAAGTTTGCTTATAGCGAAACTTCCGACTGCATAACTCGTCCCTAATCTCTAATCTCCTTTCCCGCGCAAATAACGAAAGCCCGCCTTTTCGGATGCTCGAACGACGAGTTACCTGAATGCCGTGAACGTAGTTCTTGTTGCTAGGATACGGATGACTTATGTTTAACAACGTTGTGTTGATCTCAATAATAATTTGGCCGCTGCTTCGAGCAGACGCGTCGAAGGCCGCTCATGTTCCTTTCATTAAACTTCTCGTTCTTTCGTGCAAATCGGTCTCTACTTATTTCCGCGTACGCGCGTGTGCGAGCGAGTGAGAGCGACGACGTCTGGAGGAGCGGAACGGTATCTGACGACCGGCGGTTCGTAACATTATTAACAAAATAGCATGAATATTGATAAGTTAATCGCCGAGAGATGAATCGATAACTTAATCACCGATCAAGCCAAACGACGCTTGACCGAATTTATCATGGAAATGCAATATAATATTGTACAATCATGTTACTTCAATTACAACTCAATCAGCAATTAATTCAACCGGCAGAGGTTGCTTGCAACGATATCTCTGGCCGCATAATTCGTAATCTCTATAAATCTTGCTGTCCATTGGCAAAATAGTATTACTCGACGAGCGGTGGTCACCGCTTATTCGTGAAAATGCATTATTGATCCCGCGAAGCTAAAGCCGAGGCACGTTTAAGCGTCAATCCTCCCATTTCTGTATCGCATGGGTGTACGACGGTCTCTTTTAACACTAATAGTCTCTGATAACGGGAGTCTCGCAACGTGAAATCAACCGACCCGTTTGATTCTTCGCCATTTAATATTTTCTTATACATTTAGAACATAAATAACAACAACTGATGCGCGTATCGCGTCGGTCCGTTTTGCGAGGAATCGCCAATGAAACGCAAAACAGCGAGGTTTCCAAGTTCTGTGCGACAATAAATAAACAGCATAAATCTCGGAACGTATCGGCAAAATGACTCGCAATTGTCATTTGATTTCTTAGAACGTAAAGTAGTAACTAGGCGCGCACGCAACATTCATAATATACACGACCGTGAAACACGGTCGTTCGCGGAAAATAATGCATTTACTAGGAGACATTGTGAGCGTCAGGCAAATAATAGGAATAATATTAGGTGCGTGTACATACACATACACACCACTGAATGAAAAAGTATAAAAAAACCAATGAAACTTACGAAATGCAATGTTTAGAGTGACTTGTCAACTGCTGCATCGAGATGCATACAGACATAGGCTGGTATTCAGTCAGATCTTATTAATCTTAAGTTCTTATATAAATCGGGCCATCTTAAAATTACCTTTAAATACCCCGTGGCCAATGAAATGTTCCATACAGCATCGTTAGATAAGTTCAAGACGGTCTTTGAATGTAAAATCTGACTATGAATACTGGCCATAAAGAAAATTTAATATATATAATTATATCTATATAATTATGTGTATAATTATATATATATATAATTATGTATATTACATATATAATATTGTATAATCTGACTTCATCTATCTTCGTCACCCGTTTCTATTGTTTAAACGATATTTAGAGTAGTATGTCCTTAAATATACACATTTCTTTTACATACAGTTCTCTCGTCTGATATTATTTATCGATACTAAATACTCGGTCATCTCTCTTATAAATAGTACAGAGAATTATATTACTTTATACGAAGTAAAATACTTAAGAGACATATAATTGTAGGTGAATATCTATTATATCGTGCATGTGTGACATACGGTCCAAACTCGCTTCCTCATTTGCATGAGATAGTTTGATACGCAAGCTTACGCGCTACTACCGTCAATAGCTAGTCACTAAAGTTACCAATAGAAACGGCTTATCCATTACTTAACAGGTATATCCTCTCGTAACGCGAGCTTATCACTGCGAATTAAAGTGATGCGTTTCATTCTTAATATCCTACCATAATTTGCATCAATTCCAAATTTTATGAAAAATCACAAAACAGCACTGGAAGCTTAGAATGTGTGCGCGTTGCGGCAGATGCCGCAGCCTAGAGCAAATTCCTCCCCTGTCGGTGGATGCTTCACGTGCAATGGACACTCGTCGCCCTCCAGTTGCTTAGCTTTGGGACCTTTGAGGAAAAGATCAGTGTTATGCGCTTGAAAAAAAGAAATAGTCATCATTATAAGAATCGGGAAGACGTGTTTTACACACCAGCGGGACACATAGGCAGCTCACTCTTCGGGATAGTGGTAACGCGCTGGAAGTCGTCGTGGCAGGGCTTGCAGAAGTGCGTGGTTCCGAAGCAGAAGAATACCGCCACGGAACAGCAATATCGGCATTTATACTCGAGGAAGTCTGCACCGTGTTTCGGGCACATCTGTGCCCTGGCCACGTCACTACAACCGCCGCACACTAGCTCGGCGGGATCAAACGATTCCCCACCCAGTTGCGCGTCGCAACGCGCCTCACCACCGTAGTAAGCCTTCTGGCATTTGTAACACACGTAATACGCGTACCGTTCCATCGCGTAAGCAGCAGGATCCTGATAACGACCGCCAGGTGCGAAAGCTCCTTCGGCCCTGCGGAAAAAACAAGATGATTTAAATATACATTTATATATTAAGATTTTGTGTGCCGTCGAGCATTGACGAGGAGATTATTACTTGTGCAAGCCCTCGTATTCCAAGCGCATCAGTGCCTTTCTCCGCACGTCCTCGTAGAGCTCTTTCACGCTTGCCAATTGTTCGGACAACGTCGGATGATCCATCGGTATTTTGCAAATTGGGCAAAGAGAAAAGCCAAATGTGATACGTGGGCCCACCCAACGCTTCATTAGGACGTGTCGGCAGCAATGCAGATGGAACACATGACCGCACTGCAACTGGATCGCCGGCGCGCAAGACAGGGCCTCGGTGAAGCAAATCATGCACATGTCATCCGCGTCCTGTTTCAAATCGGTCCCCGGTAAGCAACGGTGGAGGCAAGGCAAGCAAGTTCTCTCATTCCTAACGCCCCCGCAAATGTGGCCACAAGGGTGGACCATGTTACACGCGTTCTTTGCGTGCTCCTGGCAATCGTGATCGGCGCAAATGTTGCCTATCGCTAGCAAGCCCGTGTTCCCCGTTGTACCACAAAATCGACAAATACCAGTAGTGGCGCCGACCGGCTTCCTGGGCGCGCCGTCGCGAAACTCTATCAGTGCCTTCAGCGTCCTGCTGTCTGCCAAAGCCAATATCCAGAAGAGCTTTGTCCTGCCACAGCCTTCGTGGAGATCCACCCGTATTGCTTCTTCTTCTTCCTTACATACTTGTCTCAGATGCGTTCTCGTTCTTCTGTGAAGGTGTAGAATTCTATCGCACTCCGCGCACAAATTACCACAGACGTTACATTGAATGATGGCCGTGGTTTCGTCATCGTCATGATTACTACAAGTTGGCTACGAAAGAAAAGCAAAGTTAGTCACTCTTTCACTGTACACGGTAACTTGAAGACGCAACAGCAAGCTTACCCTGGGCGGCAGTGGCTGTCCCTCAGAACCACTCCATTGACCGGATGACAATCTTTCAACGTGTTCAGAGTTCAAAACGCACAAAGAAGCGAGCGCCAGCCATAGCGTTGGAGATCGAAGACATTCGGTTGGATCGCGACTCTTCTCGTCCAGTTTAGTTAAGTTTAGGATATTTTCCGCTATAGCCGCTTTCGTTACGGATGCCCATTCCTCCGATAACTTACCCTAATATTATAAAAACAAAGACATTAGTTTAGGTATGACAAAACGGACCGGTCACGATACTCACCGATGCCATGTCCTTCAAAAGTTGAATTATTACTTCTGCCAGCTTACGCGTCATGCAACCCCTTAACCACCATCTCGTTCCGACATAGCTTTTCGGATGGATGCTGGTAGCTAACGAAACAGTCTGAAGGGCTTTGCCGTTGTTTTCCTTTCCTTTCACTTTGACTTGCACAGTCAATGCTTTCGCAATGCAGCTTAAAAATACATCGAGAATCCCGGCGGAATGTTCGTCGAAATCCGAGACATGGGTAAAGCCACTGTTTGCCGCGGATACGATGCTGAAATCGGTAGGTGGCAGTCGTTCGACGTTTATAACGTTCGCTAGTGTTTCGGGCTTAATTTCGGGCAATATTCGCCGTAAGAGAGATGTTACCTGGAACATATAAAATATCAGTGATGAAGCTTATTTCAAACTTTACATTCAATTTTGCAACACTAATGGGACATACTTGACGTTGCACTCTTGCCGATCCAGTGTGCAATAAACTCAATAAGTCTTTTAGTAATCCAGTCTGATGCGATAAGTAATATTGTCCCACAGAACTACCGCTTAGAGCAAGTACCATGGAAAGCATTTCGAAGCAATAAGTATCAGCCGCTTTTGGAAGATCACTATTGTCGCTCAACACACTATTAGCGGGTGTCGGCGAGCACAAAAGGGTCTCCCATTCTTCCCTCAAACGTATAGTCTCCTTTCTAATCGCCTGCACGATATGAGTGCACACTTGTTTCTGTAGATGCGTTAAATTGCTTCTGCTGAACAAGATTCCAACCATGTGCTCCCGGAGATCGTTACTGTCCTCCAAATCCTCATTCGCACCTTCCGTCGGTTCCGTCTGTTGTTGCTTTTCTCCTTGTATGAGTTTCCCAAATACCTGCAATGCGCAGCGCAAGATTGCGGAACATGTTACAGTGAAAGATAAATTGTGAGAAATCATTGTCTACTCACCTGAGATGTGATTAGTCGAAACACCTTCAAAGTTTCCGCCTCGCAGTTTCTTTGTTGAATCGTTTGTGCGCTTAGCTGTTTCCCTACTT